TTTTCAAGATGTGAGAAATGAAGCTTTATTGAAAGCTTTGAAAATGGCTAACGTTCTGTTTTTTGTGGAACCTCCTAACTATCAATTCACTCCTAAGTTATAATTGTATGAAAATAACTCATATACTGTATCATTGATTGTGGTGATGGTATATCAAATGTAAGGAATGAAGTGTCCTTTATTTCTTAACTTGGTTGCCACCTAATAAGCAAGACTAAGGAGTCATTTGCTTAAAGATGTGGCTAGCTGCCACGTTTCTTTGGGGTATGCTAGTCTTATCTTATAATTTAATAATTAACTAGGTAATGTTCCGTTATCCGATAATTAATCAATTATCCGCATAATTAAGAATAATTTCAACTAGTTAAAATACTACTCATTTTTAATATACTTTATACATCATAATATCGTGGTCATATGGTACCTTGTATGGTACTAGTCCATAAATATCGGGTATTGTCGTTCGACCCGTATTTTATCCCAAATCGGCAACCTTCAACGTAACTTGTTTTCTTTAATTCGTGTACTCTTAATCCTGCATTGCACTTACTTATCGCTTGTTATAAATAACATAAATATGTTAACCTCAAGATAATCCCATCTCCGAGTCTACGTTGATTAGCTGAAGAAAAACTTTAACGTACGAAACGCGAGATGTAACAAAAACAGTCCCAAAACCAGCTTCTTACCTCACTAAAAGAGCTGCAGTTTAAGCTCCATTTTCAGCCCATGAACTCCAAGTTTTAACAACTAAAAACTCAGCAAAATCATCCCCAAAATCCACCTCAAATCAACCCTTGTAAACTACCAAATAGTCCAGGCATGAATCGCCCGAAGACACCTCGAAAAGCAGGCCAAAAATGCAGCTAAAAATGGCCGCAAATCAGCTGAAGAACCAGCTGAAAAACATTCTTCGAACAACCCCAAAAACCACCCCAAACCACCACCATTTTTAGCTCCAAATTCCAGACAATACACCATCTAAAACAGCTTCATAAAACCTTAAAATAGTCCAAACTTCAGCAACAAAATCACCTTCATACGTCAGAAAAACAGCCACTAAATCGCCAAGGTCTGTTGCGAATCCCGATTTTTCGTTCGAGGTCCCATCGTGTAACGACCCGGCTGGTCGTTTCATGAGTTATAGCCCCATTTCCCCCACTTCTGCTTCCTTTTGTGTTCTTCAGCTATGTTTGATCGTAGCGCGTTGGTTGGTTCGGGTTCAGAGCGACTTTGGAGTGAATTGAGACACTTAGTCTCTTTTGTGAAGGCTTAAGTTGGGAAAGTTGAGTAAACAACCTCAGATTTGAATTTTTATGGTTCCGTTAGGTGACTTTAGACTTAGGAGCGCGTCTGGAATGTAATTTGGAGGTCTATGGTAGAATTAGGCATGAATTGGCGAAAGTTGGAAATTTGGCGATTTTGGTCGGAAGTGAAAAATTTGATATCGGGGTCGCAATGGAATTTCGGAAGTTGGAGTAGGTTCATAGTATCATTTTTGACGTGTCTGCAAATTTTGGGGTCATTCGGGCGTCATTTGATTTGTTTTGGCATTGTTTGTAAAATTTGGAAATTTGGATGTTCTTAGGCTTAAATCCGAGGGAAATTTGGTGTTTTAATGTTGTTTTGAGTGATTCGAAGGTTCGTCTAGGTTTGAATGATGTTATGGGATGTGATGGTATATTTCGTTAAGCTCCCGAGGGCCTCGGGTGAGTTTCAGGTAGTTAACGGATCAATTTTTGGTTTTGGAAGTTGGAAGATTTTCTGGTATTTTGTTTAGGGGTGTGCATTCGATTTATCGATTCGATTTTGACCCTTATCGATAATTACTTATCGATTATCGATTTGTACATATGCTTATCGTTATCATTTCAATAAGGTTTCGGTTTTTTCGATTTTGATTTATCAATTTTTGGGGCTTATCGATTCGGTTACCGATTATACCAATAAAAAAATTTGCGGGATTCCAGAAAGTATATCGCTATAAACACGCCTAACTAATATGGAAAAAAAGAAGCTAAAATAAGACGAACACCGTTTATAATATAAAAATTGTGTCAACAAGCACATGCAATGAAACTAAAGTAAGGGATCAAATGTATGCCACCAACATTGAGAATCAGTTGAGGTGTGATTCAATCAGAAGACCTAATAATATCAGTAACTCATTTTCTCTTAGTGACTCGAGTTCAGGACCTGAAACAAATGCCACTAAGTCATCCACTGGACATACTCAATTTGGAGTTTCTGCTGATTCTGTCTTCAAGCTCCCAACTCATGATTCCGAGTCTTTTAGTCCATCTGCTTCCAATCCAGCTCCAACGGTATAAAATAAAATACATCATCTCGGCTAATTCTGTTTTTCATTAACTTGAACCTCATTCCCTTGAGCTTTAAGTATGATCATTCCTTAAATATGGTATCCCTTGCGGAAAGACCTAACCTTTAAACCTGGAAGAAATTATGAAAAATATTAAGAAATTTATAATACTTCACATTCTTTTACAGGTATATTATTTAAAATGGAGAACATACATAGCAGCTAACAAACTCTAGCAAACATCGTCGGTGGAAGCTTCTTCGCCAAGATTAGTGAAATCTAATATGAATATATATTAACAAGTCAAGAAATTAATATATTACTTAACTATCTTAAGCAATATAATAAAATTAATTAAAATATACATACCTTCCTTGAGTGTCTCGAGAAAATCTAAATCTTCCTCAACATTTACAGGAAGCGATTCACTCCGAAGCCAATCTTGAAGGCACACTAGAGTTTCAACCAATTTAGGAGTTAATGAACTCCTAAATTTGGTCAAGAATACGCCCTCCGGTACTAAATGCACTTTCAGATGCCACACTTGAAATAGGAATAGCAAGCACATCTCGAGCCATCTTAGCAAGAATAGGAAATCTAGGTTAGTTCACCTTCCACCAAGCCAAGATATCAAAGTCCGGTCTTTCATTTTCAGGATCTTCTGCAAGATACTTTTCCAATTATATTTTAGAATTTACACCTCCACTTGCAACTTTATGTTTTCTTATTTCGTCTAAAAGTTCACCTAAAGCAAGAATTGAAGTTTCCATTGTGCTGAATAAAGAGCTTGGCAGAGAGATAAAAACTTTACCACCAGTATCTTTTGAAACCAACTTAGAGACATACTCATTAAACAATGAACTCATATAAGTGTGAACCTCTTTATAAATAATTGTCCCTTCATCTCCAAACATCTTCTTAAGTACAAAACTAACAATAGTAAACTTATAGCGAGGATCCAAAAGACAAGCAATGAAAATCATTTTGTTAATTTTTTTTTTGGTTCACCCCAATACTTCTAAAATATTTTACACATACTTGATGCCATCTCACTCAAAAGTTCATCTTCAGTTGTTATTAATTGATTTAAGTAAACGGCAACTTGACTAATTCCAAGAAAATGGGCATTTGATGTTACATAAAGTGATCCAGACACCTCCAAAGTGAGATTTTAAAATATTTCAAGAAATTGTGCAATTCTCTTTACATCATTCCAATTAGTTCTTGTAAGCATACCTACAGGCTTTCCATCTGAAATAGCATCAATCATAAGATAATGTGACAAGCCGGTAATCACGATCAGAATATTCTTTAATTGCACGCTCATATTTAATAGCCCTGCTCAACATCAAGTAGGTGGAATTCCACCTTGTAGGAACATCTAAGCATAAAGACTTCTTGACAATATTTTCACTTTCACAACATTCCTGAAACTTCCTCAACCTAGCAGGAGACTGCCTAATGTATCTGACTACACATCTAACACGAGCAATAGAAATACCTGACTCTTTTAAACCATCTTTCACAATAAATGCCACTAAGTCATCCACTGGACATACTCAATTTGGAGTTTCTGCTGATTCTGACTTCAATCTCCCAACTCGTGATTCCGAGTCTTTTAGTCCATCTGCTTCCAATCCAGCTCCAACAGTATAAAAAAACAAAATAAAATACATCATCTCGGCTAATTCTATTTTCCATTAATTTGAACCACATTCCCTTGAGCTTTAAATATGATCATTCCTTAAATGTGGTATCCCTTACGGAAAGTCCTAACCTTTAAACCTGGAAAAAATTAAGAAAAATATTAAGAAATTTGTAATACATCACATTCTTTTACAAGTATATTATTTAAAATGGAGAACTTACATTGCAGCTAACAAACTCTAGCAAACATCGTCGGTGGAAGCTTCTTCGCCAAGATTAGTGAAATCTAATATGAATATATATTAACAAGTCAAGAAATTAATATATTATTTAACTATCTTAAGCAATATAATAAAATTAATTAAAATATACATACCTTCCTCGAGTGTCTCGAGAAAATCTAAATCTTCCTCAACATTTACAGGAAGCGATTCACTCCGAAGTCAATCTTGAAGGCACACTAGAGTTTCAACCAATTTAGGAGTTAATGAACTCCTAAATTTGGTCAAGAATACGCCCTCCGGTACTAAATGCACTTTCAGAAGCAACGCTTGAAATAGGAATAGCAAGCACATCTCGAGCCATCTTATCAAGAATAGGAAATCTAGGTGAGTTCACCTTCCACCAAGCCAAGATATCAAAGCCCGATCTTTTATTTTCAGGATCTTCTGCAAGATACTTTTCCAATTCTATTTTAGAATTTACACCTCCACTTGCGACTTTATGTTTCCTTATTTCATCTAAAAATTCACCTAAAGCAGGAATTGAAGTTTCCGTTGTGCTGAATGAAGAGCTTGGCAGAAAGGTGAAAACTTTACCACCAGTATCTTTTGAAACCGACTTAGGCATACTCATTAAACAATGAACTCATATAAGTATGAACCTCTTTTTCAATAATTGTCCCTTCATCTCCAAACATCTTCTTATGTACAAAACAAACAGTGGTAAACTTGTAACGAGGATCCAAAACACAAGGAATGAAAATTATTTTGTTCATTTTTTTTGGTTCACCCCAATACTTCTAAAATATTTTTCACATACTTAATGCCATCTCACTGAAAAGTTCATCTTCAGTTGTTATTAATCGATTTAAGTAAACAGCAACATGACCAATTTCAAGAAAATGGGCATTTGATGTTACATAAAGTGATCCAGACACCTTCAAAGTGAAATTATAAAATATTTCAAGAAATTGTGCAATTCTCTTTACATAATTCCAATCAGTTCTTGTAAGCATACCTACAAGCTTTCCATCTGAAATAGCATCAAACATAAGATAATGTGACAAGCCGGTAATCACGATCAGAATATTCTTTAATTGCACGCTCATATTCAATAGCCCTGCTCAACATCAAGTAGGTGGAATTCCACCTTGTTGGAACATCTAAGCATAAAGACTTCTTGGCAATATTTTCACTTTCACAACATTCCAGAAACCTCCTCAACCTAGCAGGAGACTGCCTAATGTATCTGACTGCACATCTAACACGAGCAATGGAAATACTTGACTCTTTTAAACCATCTTTCACAATAGGATTTAAAATATGAGACATGCATCTCATGTGAAGGTGTTGACCATTCATGGAATTGGTTCCCCAATCATCTAATTTGTCAGACAACTCCACGGTCACATCATTTGAACTAGCATTGTCAATTATGACAGTGAAAATCTTTTGCAAACCCCACTCACACAAATAATCAATAATACACATTGCCATATCTTCACCTTTATGACTAGTAATTGGAGAAAAGTTAATAATTCTTTTATGCATAATCCATTCACTATCAATCCAATGGGCTGTGATGCACATATAGTTTTTTTTTTTTTTGAATAGAAGTCCATGTATCAGTGGTAAGACTTACTCTTTGACTTGTTCCTTTAAGAAACTTAATTAGTTTATTTTTCTCCACATTAAAAAGAAATAAATGGAAGTTCATCGACAGTCGCCATACGACACAAAGCTATCCTACACTCTTGTTGATAAATTTCCATGAAATAAGATCACCTTTATTACCCCCTGGTAATGTTTAATATTGTAATAGTTTTGACCTTTTTCAACTTTATAAGGATTCCTTGGACATTTAATAATATGACAATTCATTTGTGCCGTACTTTTGCCTTTGTTCTCAAAATATTCTTGTCCATAATATCTACATACATATTTATTATTTCCTTTAGCATCAACTTTTTCTTCAAAAAAATCCCATGCCCGAGATCGTTTTTTTCTTTGTTTTGTAACTGTCCACTGAGTAGTTGCAGCAGTAGACTCAGAACCTCTACTTTCATCAATCACTTAATCAATTTTATCATTTTCAGCCATGTGAAGCGAATGAAGAATGTAACTTATAGTATTAAACGAGTTGAATGAAGTAAAGCAAGACGAAGTTAGCACTCCTCGCTCTTGACCTAAAAATTATGGCTGGAAAGAAATAAATTTAAATAAGGTCCTTATCCAACAAAAGAAAGGGAATTTAATAGTATCCGATGAGAACGCAATTAGTGATGCAAAATGAGCAGAGTAAGTTCAGATAAGTATTATAAGGTTCTTGCTGGTATCTTATGTCATGTTTGATAATTATTTTAGCATTATAAAGATTTTCTCTCAATACACTAGATTCCATCTGGCTTTAACTGAGAAAAAGAGACGTGCATTGGTATCCAAAAATTAGAGTAAACTATTTGAAGCAGTACTTTGACGTTATTTGAAAAAAATAAGAAACAAGATTGCAGTATCTGCAATTTGAGTATTTCACATTAGCAACAACAAACAGTGGCAAGACACATTAGCTATAAAGATTGAGCCTTTTAAATTAACAAGTGCTTACCATGTTATATGTATTTAAATAAGGATAGATTAAAGGATCTCAAAATGGTTAGAAGAAAAAGGGACGAACGAATTGACATTCCTGTAGCGAGAGGGTGAGTAAAACCACAGAAAAGACAGTACTATTTCAAAAGAGAGCTAAGAACCAAAAAAGAGTCAATAGGAAAATGACATTATGCAGATAAGCTAAATGAACGTGTGAGTAACTTCAAGGAACAAAATTTACATTACCAAAATAAAGAAATCAAATGATGAAGAAAAGATATTGAGAAGGTAAAAGTGGAATACCTGTGAAAGAAGAACCAAGTAAGCAGAAAGTGAAGAAAAACTATGAGCTCTAAAGGGGCAGGCAGAAAAGCGCGCTGAAGAATAAGGGTAGAGGAAATAATAGGGTTACGGACTTAGGGTGAAGGAGCGGGTATTATAGAATAAGGGTATATTTGTCTTTTTAGTATATCTTATCGGTCTATCGATAAACCGATAACTCGATAACCGAAGAGGACAAAATCGAAATTGAAATCGATAACTCGATAAGGAAAATTTCGAAATCGAAATCGAAATCGATAAATCAATAAACTGATAACAAATGATGGATTCGATTTATCGATAAACCGATTCGAATGCACACCCCTAATTTTGTTGCAGAGAATTCCTTCATCGCATTCGTGATAGGGCTCTCGCGTTCGCGAAGGGATTTTGAGAGGGGAAGCTGAGTTGTTCTTTGCGTTCGCAAAGTAGTTCCTGCGTTCGTGAAGGTTTAGGATTTTAAGAATACGCGTTAGCGACAAGTGCATCGCGTTCGCGTAGAGTCAGCGGTCATTGGAGGTCAAGCATTTAAGCATACGCGTTCGCGAGGAGCGTTTCACGTTCACGTAGGGTGAAGCAGGGTGGTCTTCGCGTTCGCGAGTGGGTCCTCGCGTTCGCGAATGAGGAACTTTTTGGTCTGAGGCAGGTTGCCCTTCGCGAACGCAAGGGCACTACCGCGTTCGTGAAGAGTAAAATCTGGGCAGCAGCGTTAAATATCAAAATCGAGCGTTTGAGCCCATTTTTCGTATTTTGAGTTAGAGACCACGGGATTGGGTAATTTTTTGAAGGGAAATTCAGAGAGGTGATTTGAGTAGGTGTTCTTTACTTGATTTTTGGTTAAATCCCCTTATTGTATCTTGATTTTTATCATCTAAATTGGGGTTGGGGTGAAAAATTGGGGGGAAATGGAAGAGAATTGGAGGGATGATTTTGAGGATTTGGATGGCCATTTGATGTCGGATTTTGATGTTTTTGGTATGGGTAGACTAGTAAGTGAATGGGCTTTCTAGTTTTGTGATTTGTCGAATTCCGAGACGTGGGACCGGGGGCCGATTTTGGGAGAATTTCGGGATTTATGCCTAATTGGATAGTTTTTCTTGTGGATTCATTCCATTAGCATGTATTGATTGGATTGTATTGCTTTTGGTTAGATTCGGGACGTTTGGAGGTGTCACGCCCCTAAACCCAGACCCGGTCGTGATGGCGCCTCTCGTGAAGACAAGGCCAGCCGACACATTTCCAATCCAGATTTAAAGCAATTAAACAATAAGCATTATGTCTAAAACATGATATAAACTTAAAAGTAACAATCACAATACAAAACAATTCGCGGAATACAACCTAACACAGCCCGATACGGAGGTGCCACTAGTCATGAGCATCTACTAAGGTCTAAAACACAACGAAATTCTGGAAAATATACTAGAATAGTCTAATGACATCAAGAGGGAGTAAAGCTGTGATGCGGACGTCGGACAGCTACCTCGCTAAAATTCCAATGACTCTGCCTCAGCTCAGCCAATACCCGCTACCGGGGTGCTGAAATACCTGAATCTCCACACAAGGTGCAGGGAGTAAAGTGAGTACTCCAACTCAGTGAGTAATAATCATAACTAAGGTCTGAATGGTAAGAAATCACGAAAGTGCATCAACATGCTGTATAGAAGTAGTACAAAATCCGTAAGAAGCAATGAAGCTGTAAAATCTGTTAAAACATCTTAGCTCAGTTTAAACTTCTTTTAAAAAATGACCTTTTCGACAGTTACGCAAATGAATGTAAAACAATTAGTGCAGATAAGCACAGAAAATCCATCCCTCGGGCACAACTACACAATTAAACAGGTAAATGACAGGCAAATAAGAAAGATAAGCACATAAGGTTCGCCCCTCGGGCACTATGTCAACAAATCCGCCCCTTGGGAAATATCTCAGAACAGTACCAGGCCCTCTGGCAATCCCATAGAAGAATACCAGCCCCTCGGGCTATATCTCACATCACAATGGGTAGCCGCGCTCACTCGGGGTGTGCAGACTCCTGGAGGGGCCCCTTACGGCCCAAGCACAATATCAAGCCATCTCGTGGCGTCATCACTAGGCTCTCGGCCTCATATTAATCAAGCCACCTCGTGGTGTACATATCTCAGGCCCTCGGCCTCATAATCAAAATCAGTGTATCACCGCTGCGGCGTGCAGCCCGACCCAAACGATATCCTCACAACACAGGCCCTCGGCCGTACTCACTTAAAAATCACATAAGCCTCTCGGGCAACAGTAAAACGGTGTTTCTCAGACCAAAACATCATTTAAATATCATTTGAGTATTAAAACTGAGTGAACATGGCTGAGTTTTGAAAACAGTGGAAAATAACATGACTTAGTTCAAGTGTAAAGTCAAAACAGTGAGGAAATATCAACAAAAATCCCCGAAGGGTTCAAATAATTGGCACGAAGCCCAAATATGGCATTCAACCCAAATAATGATGATAGCAAATAGATTTCAGCCAAATACACGGAAAAATCATCAATCGGGACAGACCAGGTCATAGTCCCTAATAGATCACGACCCCACGCTCGTCATCAAGCGTGTGCCTCACCTCAATATAGCACCACGATGTGCAATCCGGGGTTTCAAACCCTCAAAACATCATTTACAATCATTACTCACCTCGATCCGGTCCAAACTCTAGCCCGCGATGCCTTTGCCCGCATGAATCGACCTCCGGATGCTCCAAATCTAGCCACAATCAGTACATAATTATTAAAATATGCTAATGGAATAAAGCCCACTCAAAAATATCCAATTTACATAAAAAATCCCGAAGTTGCAAAAACTCGGCCCCCGGGCCCACATCTCGGAATCCGACGAAAGTCACATCAATAGAATCCTCGTCCTCACACGAGTCTATACATATCAAGAACATCAAAATCGGACCTCAATTGCCCCTTCAAACCCCCAATTTACACTCTCCAAATTCAAGCCCTAATTCCTCAATTTTTGGCTTAATTTCCAAGATTAATTAGATAGATTTCACATTAGAATCGAGTTTTAAGTCCAAGAATCTTACCTCCAAGTGACTCCCCTTGAATCCCTCTTCAATCCTCTTCAAAAAGCTTCAAAATCGACCAACAATGGAGGAACTTAGCCTCAAATTCGCGGAAATAAGCTTTTAAAACATTCTGCCCAGCTCTTATTTTTACTTAATCGCGATCACGAAAAAACCATCGCGATCGCAAAGCACAAACACCGCTGGCCCAATAATTCACTCTACGCGATCGCGTATATACCCACGCGAACGCGATACTCAAAATCTTCCACCTACGCGATCGCGAATGAGACCACGCGACCGTGATTCACAGAAACATACACCTACGCGATCGCAACCCTAACTACGCGAACGCGAAGAATAACCTGGATGCCCCCTGAGACAGCTCTATGCGAATGCGAGCCTCTTCACGTGATCGCGATGAAGAAAAACTTGCAACATAACTGAAGCTAAAACCTGCAACTTTTAATATGCAAATTTGATCTGTTTAACCACCCGAAACTCACCTGAGGCCCTCGGGACCTCAATCAAACATGCCAACAT